CTTGTCTCCCACTTGTCTCCCAGTAAGCTCTGGATGCTCTGAGTGCTCTGGCCGGCGTCCCATTGTAAAGTCAATGAAAAACAGAATTTTAACGCTTTCCCTTTGAATCTTGTATGTGCGTCTACATGGTGGACTACAGTTTTCTTCCTCTAGGAAATACTGCTGGCCATATTGTTCGGAGATCTCATTCTTGAACATTGCTCTGTTTGGGGTCTACGCTGGTATAATTTTTACTTTTCAATTTGACTTTATTTTTAACTTTGACTCTTCCATTTATGTGTTTTTTCGATTTCTTTTTTAAATCAAGCCATCACGATGACGGCGGACTTCCACCAGGTTTCAGAACTTTCAAACACCGACCCCCCAGAACTCCGACACACTCTCCAGATCCGCACCTGGGTCTGGTCTTTTTCCTTTGAAGATCGTTGGAAACCTCCTTTTCTCCGCCCATTTGGACCCGGAGCGGTCGAACTATCGGGCAGAGGACCAGTTGCGCCGGCAGACGGCAGAAAAGGACCTCTGGTGCCATTTTCTGGACCGGTGAAGTTCGCCAGAAAACACCATTATCTGACATCAATGAAGTTCCGCTTTCTACACTTCGAACCGGAACACATGAATGACTGCCGTACGAGACCGCGGTCGTGTTCCTGCATGGAACACGAACAGAGAAACCGCGCAGTCGGGCCGGTTCGACGCCGGCTCCTCGAGCTCCGAGTCATCGCCGAAGCTCAGCCCTTTTTTGGCTCGGTGAGACACGTGAGAGGAAGTCTCCGGTAAACAAGAAGCGGTGAACCGGACATTCCCGTAACATACAAGACGGTCAAAGCGTATTTGTTTGGCTTCTGTTCGGGTGAACTTTCAAAGCCTGCAGTTAGTTATGACCCATAAACATGTTGATCAACCCAATACATGCAGATGCATTATAAGTAAACATCTTATCTCTTAAGTATAAGACCCACCTTATCAACAATCTTATCTCTTAAGTATAAGACCCTTAAGTATAGCATGGGTCTTATCTCTTAGCAACAATAGACCCACCCGTTGCTCGGCATGGAGACCTTTGACTGGGACGCCTTGGACGGACAGGAACGCACGCAGGCGGTCGCTGGGTTTTCGGCGGAGGAAACCATCAGTTGCTTCATTTGGAGTGGCTGCGAGTCACAGCGAGTCTGGTGGCTCTGGATTCTTTTTTGGGCTCTTCTACGTGCGGTATTTGGGATGCACGAAGGAACAATCGATTGGTAGACATGGCCCTTTTCCGGGGTGTGGTCTCCGGGACTAAGAACCGGCCACACCGTGCTTTGAGCGATCGGATCAAACGTGTGACCCACCGACGTGTTGGACGGTGCTGCTCCACCACCTCTACTTCACGAGTTCGTAGCAGGGTCGATCGTTCTGGCGCCCAGAACATCCCGGGATGCGCAGGGCCAGATCTTTCGAAGCGCTTCGGTTGCTTCGAAGGTTTGGGAGTGAGGCGACCAATTAGTTGTCCACCAACAAAAAGACAACTTCCGCGGGCCTTGAAACGGTACCGTTTGTTTGTTTGTTTGTTTGTTTGCCTTTTAGATCTATTTTTCCTGCGAGGGTTTTTGGAGTCTGGTTTTTCAAATCGAAAGTCGACAGCCTTGCACCAGCCCCCTCGTATGGATGGCAGATGGCCTGGACCCGACTTCTTGGCGAAAAGAATTTGGTCGCAAATGGATCGGTATATGGCTCTTCTCAGTCATTCCAGTGCCAGCCACGAAATGATTCGACCTGGGTTTGGCATGGAGGACCGTTGGGGCACCGTTTTAGCCGAAGTCAGGAGGCCGTTTGTTCGGGCTTTCTGGCGCGTGGAGGACCGTTGTAGGAGTTGATGGCGTCACAGTTAGGGGGGCTCATTTGAACATGTCGCGCTGATTCGCATCAATCGGGTGTGTGGCCATCGGGTGTGTCCTAATTGTTGACTGGGGCCCGACCTGATTCCAGGTGACTGATGAACTCCACAACTCACCAAGACTAAACATGCTAGTCTACTCTAAGTATCCTCTTCTTTCCGAGTTGATCTGTAGTTTCCCGTCCATCGAGGCCACGTCACACGTGTCACACGAGGCCGAGGACGACGAGCTCGCGCAGGGGGAGGTGGGGAACGACCACGATCCCGTGACGACGAGTCAGTCGGGTCGGGTCGGTCCTGCATAGGTCGGTCCTGCGGTTCTCATGTGGGTGTGAGAACAGGCTATATGTGTGTGTCATTTGAGTGCGGCGATTTTAGTGCGGCCGGAAGAGGGTCCCTCTGGGTCCCTCTGGGTCGCGGTCCTGACCAGTCAGGTGGACCGTGGAACCACGAACTCCTAGTAACCTAGTAACTCAGTCCTAGTTTTGAAACCACCGACGTGCACAGACAATTTAAAAAGGACACCACCGACCGTGGTTTGACGACCATGTGACACACACACACACACACATGAAGTCGGTACCACGACTTCAGACCTGACATCCAAAATCGTTCTTTTTCATGTAGGTCAGAAGTAGGCCGACCTGGCTATACACTAATGGCTAGACTGAAGTGTCTTGTGTGGACAGGCCCAGCTGCGTGCTTTGCTGCTTCGCGCCCGGCCCAAGTGGAGCTCGCGTGAGCTGCTCGGCCGTCGGATCAATCCGGTGGGAACCGGTGGGAACCGGTGTTGGTGGCACGAGTGGTGGCGATTCGGAGGCGAGGAGTGGTAGAACTTCGGTGGGCGATCCCTTTCTTCATTCTTCCTATTTTCCGCTGGTGTGAACCATGCTATCCGGAGGATGGATCGGGGCATGTGGCATGTCCACAGCGTTTGGGTGAAAAAGATGGTTGAGCGGCCGAGGTTTGGACATGCAAATCTTGAGAGATTCTCTTGTACAGTGATGTGCCCCCTAGTTGTTTGTTAACATCTATAACTGAGGTTACTACTTACGTAACTATATGTTAGTAGTAGATTAAGTAGGGTTAAGTTTGGTAAGTTCGGCGGGAACATATATCTATGATATAAATTAGATGTAGCTTTTAACCTACATGTAAGGAAGAAATAAGTAGGAGAGCTTGAAAGTTAATTTGAACTTAGTTTGAACTTATGGAACTTAGCAAAACTCATGTCAAAACAGCATGTTTTTGGTGAACGCTGCAGAAACATGCTTTGTTTACCTTTGTTTTTGACATCAAAGAAATGTTGCTGCATGTTGTTGTTTTTTTGTGATCGTTGCAAATGCATCCTTTTTCAGGCATCTGTTTTTGTTGCAGTTTTCGTGTGATTCTTGTCAGTTGTGTTGTTCTGCAACGCGGTGGTTCCGCGAGTTGCTCGCGGTAGTCCGCAGAGCCACAGCCTTTTCTCAAGTTCGTGCTATACACTACAGGTGTTGTAGATATTTGTAGATACAGAAAGAGGTCAAGATGAAGCGCCCGGCGAAGAAGGTGGCGATGAAGCGCCCTGCGAATATCCATGCTCCGAAGGCTTCTTCCAGCAGCCAAGCAGCCGACGAGGGAGTGAATCGCTCGAAGAAAGTGTACGCATTCCCCAGCACCAAGGACTGGAAGGATCGAAGCTACCAAGAGTTCTTGGATGCTGCCTACTTGGACTTTCACGACCTGAAGAGCTACAACAAGAGCTACCGTGAGCGAGTCTCTTGCAGCCAGGGACAGTACATGGCAAGGATGAGCAAGTCGCATGGGTGGCGCAAGGTGGACTCGAGGTACATGTGAAGGACTTGCAAGAGAAGCCTGAGAGCAGAATCTAGATGTGTAGACCTTTAGCACAGCTCGATGGGAGAAGGCTTGGCGATCGGGGCCTTATGTGGAAAAAAGGGTGCAGCTTATGCTTCATCAAGTGAATCAAGGTTTGCTGTCCTGTTTGTATCCAGGATGAATGCGGTATGTATTTCAGACCTCCCCTTGAGAGTTCACTTGTTTGCAACAGTGTCTCCGCAATTTTTGCTCTTTAAACAGACGCGTTTGCAAAGTGTTTCACAATCTTGCCATTGGTAGCATGGCTGAGCAAGGCTCGAACCTATTGCAGGGGAATGCAATGGGAAAAGAGCAGGGTCTAGGGAATGCTCGAAAAACTATGCAGGATTGGACAGCGTTCTACATGTACCTGTCAGAAACCGAGTGGGATGCAATCGCAAACCATGAGTCAGTGACTTCACTAGCCTGTTTGCAGATTGTGATAGAGCATCTATTTCGCCGTCCAGTGAGTTGACACAGGCAGCTTTGACAGCCATGCTTGTGCACAGAGAACCCCCAGAGAAGCAGCAAACCATGATGCATGAAGAGCGCCTCAGAAGCCTTTTCTTGACAGTACAGGCTCAAGTGAGCACAAAGATGTCGAAATTGAAAACCCTTTTGAATCTTCCACAGCCTCATGGCATTCATTTGGAGACACTGCCTTCCGACCCTCAGTGGCTACCAGAGGCTTTGAAGCAATTCTTTATTGGCACTTTTGATGACTTTGTGCCACCCAGGCTCAACATGATGGATTGTTTGCAGATTGCTCGCCACGTGCCTATGAGAAAAGGAAAGGACCAAGGCCTTTGTCACTTGAACCAATCACTGTGGTCTCAGGTGACTGGTCCTGGAGGAAAGCTGTTCAATCTGACAGCAATGGCGGCTGTTGCTGCAATGGCGGCTGGTGGCTTTGGGGCGCAGCCACAGATGCCGAACATAACCATGCTTCCTCCTCGCCATGCATCAACTCAACCCAACCAAGGTTTGCTTGAGTTGGTGAACAGGGCTCATGCAACTGGTTCAAAACCTGCAGCGCCACTGGCGCTGATGGATGCCCCTTCTACTGAGCCACAAGCAAAGTCCCTACCTCCTTTGCAAGCAGCTTCTCAGGCCGCTCCTTCGCAAGTCGCTCTTCCGCAAGATGCCTCCGTGCATGTGCAGCCTCATGGAGTTCAAGAAGGTATTTCCAAAGAGGCTTTGCAGCAAAATGCGTTGCAAGGGCCTTCCCATAGCGTTCCAAACAAGGTTGGTGCAGTTCAGGGTCCAGATGCTCCAGCAGAAAAAGCACCTTCTCAGTCAGATGGGCCGATTCAGCCGCATGCCAATGTCAGCTTGGCTCAGAGCGTTGCAAAACTCAAGGTGGCTGCGGATGCAAAGGGGGCTCAATGCGGAGAGAGGACAGGCGGTGCAGCTGATAAAACGATGCTTTTCAAAAAGCCCGCCGCGGCTCCGTCGTCTATGAAGAGGCCCATGTCACAGAAGGCGGACCACGAAAAGAATGCAAAGAAAAAGAGCGCAGCTCCTGAGAGATCGAAGGCAGAGACAAAGAAATTGCTTTTGAAGCAGATCCCCAAGCAGAAGCGAACCAAGTTCTCAGGAGGCTGCCCTAAGTGCCGCTATGTTCCTTTCTGCACTCTATCTTGTTGGAAGCAGCGCGGTTTTGAATTGAAAACCAATGCCTGAACCACTTCTCCGTGTGTTTTGTGAGCAGGCAAGGCTGCTCTGAGTTACAATCCAATCTCTCATCTCTTAGGGCTTGGTGGAAAACAGTGCGCCTGTCACCCAGACTGTGTGAAGCATGTCAACGCCTTGTCGTCTGTAGGAAGAAAACCATATCGTTGTTGAATTCAACACAGCTTGTTGCCACAAAAAGAAGAACGCCATATTATATATTAATATTCAATTTGCGGTAGCCCGCAATATTTTATATTCATGTAAAAATCACCGGCGGTAGCCCGCCATATTTTATATTCATATTTAGATTGCGGTAGCCCGCAATATTTATATTCATATAAAAATCATTGGCGGTAGCCCGCCATATTATATGTTCATATTTAAATTGCGGTAGCCCGCAATATTTTATATTCATATATAAATCATTCGCGGTAGCCCGCCATATTATATGTTCATATTTAAATTGCGGTGGCCCGCAATATTTAAATTAATATCCATATATATATATATAATGTAATATGCAATAGTATATATATATGCAATAGAATGGCGGTGGCCCGCCAATCCCTAAAAAGATGTTGATGTATGTTGCTAATAATGTGTTATTGCATCCGGCTCACAGTGCTTTCTTGCGGGCTAAAAACATAGCAGGCAATTTACAGCGTTAGCAAAGTTTTTCGATGTCACCTCAGGCAACGGTTCCTTTGTCTTCATGGCCAAAGGCAATGACGTCCACTGCATGGATGAGGATGCGGATCACTACATGGGCGCGCTTCGAGACGCAGGGCTTTCTGAGGTTCCTTGACTGAAACATTCACATTACAACGTAATTTTTTGATCTATGTGTTCATGGCACAGTCTTGCAATCACCGTTTCGGGGGCGCTTTGTATCACCTTGTATCTCTACATATACCTTTATGTTCCTGGATGTTTGTTCCAAGTAGCACTTCACTTCATTGTGTTTCGAAGTCAAGGTTCATGAAAGAGTCATCTAACTAAGATGTGCCGGGCGGTGGTTCCGCCTTTTTAGTTTGTAGGCACTTCACATTATACCGACATCGCCCACGCTGTGAGTTTCTTTTTGCACCTCAGGTGAGTTTCGAGGACTCTCCAACATCTCCTGCAGATAGTGGTTACGCACCGACCTCTCCAGCAGAAGAAGAGATAAAAGAAGATCTGAAGGCAGAAAAGAAAGAGGAAACCAAAGAGGAGTTGAAGGAAGAACCACGAACAAATACCAATGACTGTGACGCATCAGATACGGAGAACAGCGTACAGACTGACATAGAACCATTATCAGATGATGAACGAACAGTGTTCAATCCCTCAGTCAATCCCTCAGATTCAGACACAACCGATATTGGTGATTTGCAGTCTGGACCACCGGCTGAGGCTACTTCCACTGCAAGGCAAGACCCAGCTCATGTGGCTGGCGCAGATCCGGTCTCACCTAGCAGTGGTGCTGTTCCCACATTAGATGGTTGCGCTGGTTTTCCTTCGCAGGAAAATTCACATGGTCCTGTGCCAATTGCTGCCCCGAATGCAGCACTTAGCAGTTGCGCTATTCCCATATCAAGTGGTGGTGCTGTTCCTGCATCACATGGTCCTCCTTCGCCTAGTCCTGCTGGTGCTGCCAGCTTAGGGGTTGGTCCTGTGCCAGCTGCTGCCCCCAATGCAGCACTTAGCAGTGGCGCTGTTCCCATATCAAATGGTGGTGCTGTTCCTACATCATATGGTTCTGCTTCGCCTGGTCTTGCTGGCGCTGCCAGCTCAGGGGTTGGTCCTGTGCCAAGCGCTGCTGCTTCCAATCCAGCAAGCACTGGTTCTGTTGCTACAGCACCTGTTCCTGTGCCGCCACGCAGTGGTGTTGCTTCGAGCTCGGGCTCAATGGCAAGTTCCCTCAATCATACCAGTGTGGTAGCATTCAGACAAATGAAGCGTGCAGCAGCAGAAGCTTTGGGCATATCGCGCAGGCAATTTGAACAGCAGTACCTGGGAGAGCCAAAACGCTCTCGAGGTCGCAAATAGAAGAGAAAAGGTGCTTCTTCGTCAGTTTGCTTCTCATGTGCCTGAAGCTGTGTGATTCCATGTTGGGGGCCAAAAGCATGTCCAAAGTATCTATGTTGTGTTTTGAGACATTTGTTGTACACATTTGTTGTATTCATATTTAGATTGCGGTAGCCCGCAATATTTTATATTCATACAAAACCA